ATGCACAATATCAACTTTTCATGTCAATAGAGCAGGATCATATGACCATGTGATGCAAGTTCATAAAAATTACAGACCAAAATCTTCTTTTTTACAGATGTCCCTCTGATAAATGAATCCAAACTGAATAGGACTTAAGATTAAGCTATTGTGTCCTGTCTTGTTTTACCCTGATCGATTACCCTTTTGAATATTGGTTCCTCTCAAGGCTTCTTCCTCTTGCCCTTAGGGAGTTTTTCCTTGCCACTGTCACCATTGGCCTGGTCTTTTTCTGTAAAGCTGCTTTGCAACAACGCCTGTTATTATAAAGTGGTATATCAATAAACTTCGACTTGACTTGACTTACCTGTCTTTTACATTTTTGCCTTGTTACTGTTATTACTTGGAACTGAAATGGAAAAAGCCAGACATAAAGGCTTAAATCTGCTATAGAATGTAATTGTAATTCATTACATAACTGCCTATGTAATTAATTACGTAAATATACCTTTAAATAGCCTGTGCAAAATTACAATAACTCAACTCCTTAAGGGTTAAAAACTGGACTATGAATTAATTATAGATAAAAAAGGATTCATTCAACTAATTCAACTTGTAATAAGCCCATTCTCCTGACCATTTTCAGAAACAATTCAACAGGAGTTTACCCTTCAGGCCAGCTCTTATTTTCATCTGCAGTTTTATGACAAACAAAATAACACAATGGTTTGCCAAGGAGAGAAAGTGAGTGACTATGTCTGTGTGTGTGTGTTAGCAGGGCATCTCTTTAAGTGGGCCTCAACCTTCATTTTGGTTTCACCATCCTTCCGCACGGGTCCCAGCGAGCATAATTTAAAATCCTGGCCTTTTTGTCATGACGTGAGCAACAGAGCTAAACAATGCGGCAGAGCTGGAAGGCATTTAGGTTTTCTTGCATTAAAATAAAACAAACTAATGAAAGGCCGCAGCCGTGAAGCAACAATAAAAATAAACAAGGCCGACCTCACTGAACTCCTCACCTCTTCCCACTCTCTGGCTCTCTCACTCCGCTTGCCTTTCCTATTGAGAGAAGGCGTGAGAAAAACACACAAACAAGCTTTTGTCAGCCTTCCTCCAGGCTCTGTTTTGCAGTGTGGGGGGTTCTGACTTCAAGGTCTGCTAATGAACTATTAATTATAGTATTAATATATATTTTATTTAGCCCTTAGCATGAAGGCTGGCTTTTTACCAGGCTCACCGCACGCTCCTGAGGGCCCCGATTTTCCCACCAATTAAAGATGAAGCGGCGTGTACTCGCTCTCTCACCCTGGGTGGCGGAGGGCTCATCGAGAACGTTCCTGCTGTGAGCTAGCAGCTCCACTGAACCCCACCGAAGTCCCCCATAGGTACAGCCCCTAAAGCCTCCCTGTACTGAGCAGCTAGAAGCAAGTATAGCACACACCACAGGTGAGACCAAGGGGGGTTACCATGTAAACAGGTGCAGAAGCCATAATAAGACCACTGGATCACGGATCAGTGGCTCATGGAAATTTCAGACCTACTGCTGTGCATTAGATATGGAACCCCTCGGCCACACTTTGAATTGTGGGCTTCGATTCCAAATTCATCAAATGGGAAAAAGAAGCAAAACCCAGAGATGAGCACAGCTTCATGAAATTTATGCTCCTGTGCTCCTATTCATCACTGCCTGCTCGCTAAAGAGAATCCAACAGTTTTCCCAATAACATACTCCACTGCTAGTCTGTCCAAGCACAAACAGTGTCCTTTGAAAGTTTGAAGATGTCTAGCTTTTCAAAATGGTTTTAACAAAGACCTTTTTTTTTTGCCCATTTGCAATATTTTTCTGGCCAAAAATGGTAAAAATGGCACTTTCCATTTTTCAGATGAAAGAAAAAAAGGCCTAAAACCTGGACAAAAAATAGATTAAATAGGCCTACAACAAGTGTCACAATGTAAGACTAGCTTTACTTTGTGATACTGTTATGCAACTGTAATTGCTTGAAACCTATATGAAACTAAGCGTCCTGCAACTCACTTGAAACTCAGCCACAAACGTGCACTTGTCTCAACTTCATGAAACAGCCAGGTATCAGCATCATCAAATAAACGCCAGTAACTCATCATAATGATGTTATTTTATTCATTTAGACAAAGAAAATAAAATAGAAAATCTGCTTGTAGGTTGAAAAGGAAATCTGAAAAAACCTCAAATATATAGAAGAGCCCTATATACACAGATAATGACATAGAAAAAATATATGAAGATCTTAAAAATGCGGAACATATGTAATGTATACCTCACAGATGACTTTACAGTGAGAACAACAACTTGTATTAAAAATTATGAGCTGCTAATTTGGTTAAGTAGTGGAGTAATGTGAATGTGTTGCAAGCAACTTTAATTTAAATTGCTTCATATAATCGTCAAGTTGCATGAAAATTATTTTGCAGGCAACTCACAACGTTCAAATAATTGCACTAATGTTGCACTGTGTAAAGCCATCTTAGGATAGGGTGATAATTGAAATTTTACCAAAAAAAAAAGAAATAGTGATTAAAACACTGTTCTTTTCATTCTCCTTCGCTGATCAGTGTAGATGTGTTCAAACAGTTTGAGCAGCAGTGGATCAACAGTGAAAACAGTGGCCATGTGGAACAGTTTCTCAGTTTCTACTCAAGCAAATGTAATCACTGTTCATGTTTTACAGGTTTGATACCGCTTGATATCCTGCTTGATATGCAGAATACAGCAAAACAACAGAAGCAGAAAGGAAAGTGCCTGCAAGCATGCCAAAACCATCTGTAGCCACAGTTTTGAAAATTACAGAAAAAAAAAAAAATCACAAATGACAGTGCCAATTTGCAAAGCATATTTATGCATGGCTTTCAGCCCTGTTTGTTTGCCCTTCTTGGTGCATCACTACTAAATAGAAAGCTCTTTCAATCTTTCTAATTTTCTTTGCAAAAAAGGTAAAACTGCCTTGGGAATACCACCAAACCACATGCATGTCAGGTATGTCCTTTTAACAAAAGTTTGGAAAAGAAAAACAAATTATTTAAGCAAAACCTGCTCTTCACATCAAGAAAGACGCTTTGATAACCATGAATCTGGGCTGAAGCTAAGTATACCAAATGTAATAGCAATGAGATGTTTTAGGACAACAAAACCTTTGCAGGTATTTTTCTTACAGTAATTTAAAACCAATCATTCTTGGGGAAAAAAAAATGAAAAGGAGCTTTTGGCAGTGCAAGCTCTGTGAAATTTCCAATAATGCACGTTTTACAAGCAGTTGGTCCAACTCAGCCTAAACCGAAATATGGAGTCTCATGATCTAGCATTAACAAACAATAACAAACAACAAAAGGTGGTTTGGGCTTGTGGGCTGCGCTCAAACTCAGACATGTTTCCCAGCCCTCATCCATCTTTAAGGCTGGAGAATCAAAATCAACACTATTTCGACGCTCACACCTCAAGTCCCAGCACGCTGCGTTACCATCAACAAAAAAACACTCTGTTTCGCTATTTGTTTTGTCTCATCTTGATTCAGGGATGACTAATGCTACAGCACCTTGCTGGAATTACCTGCTGAGTCTCTGTGGTATAATCCAATAGATCAGCGAACGCTAAATAGGCAGCAGCGCATCGCATCAATTAGCAGTGTTGCTGGGGTAATTGACAGCAGAGCAGTAGGAGAGAAAGCCCTTTCTGCATATATGATGAGAGCGCTATCGTCTGCGGCATCGCGGCAGGATGCTTAATAAAAGAGAAAAAGGAGACGGAGAAGCTTCACATGAGTCACATTGTGGAGCGGTAATGAAATCTGTAGCCTGCCACTGGAGAGAATATATGATATCTCACTGCCTGTCGGAAAGACAATCCTAATGCATCCCACAAATAAATCAACGCAGATTTACATGAGTCAGAGAGAGAGAGAGAGAGAGAGAGAGAGATAGACAGAGAGAGAAAGAGAGTGGAGAGGGACTATGGAAGGAGAGAAAAAGGACAAAGAAAGGGAGAAACAGAAAGAGAGATAGAGGGAGAGAGAGAAAGAGAGACATGCAAAGCAGCAATCAGCAATGCATCATCTTGAGCCAGGTGTTTGGAAAAGGGGGAAAACAAATCTTGTAACACATGCAGGCCTCGGAGCGAGGGTCCGGCATGCATTCTGCAGGCGCATCACTCATCTGGAGAAAGGCATACTAACGCCCCTGTGGTTAAACACACGCATACACGCTGCTATAACATTGCGCCGCTGTTGTGCCGATGATTGCGGAGTCCAGCAGATGGGCTGCCGCTGCAGAACAAATAATCTTTATGTTTCACCAATTAACGCAACTCAAACATCTAGATTAGACCAGCGGCAGGTGATCACAGAAAACCAGAGCACATAAAGATCCAGCATGAAACACCAAACTCAGCATTGCACACCAACCGTTAAACTGAGCTAATGCCTATCATACAGTCACAGGGTTTTATTTTACTAGCCGTGAGGCAGATAGAGAGACGCAGAGTGGACGTGTCTGCTCAAACACAGAAAGGAAGGAATAAGAGATAGAGCAAGAATAAAGAATAAGGAAGACGATTTACACAGTTGGAGAAGCATGAAGAACACGAACAATAGCACCTCCAACAATAAACCCAGCAAGTATGAGGTCAAGAGATTACAGGTTGAGAGAGAGAGAGAGAGAGAGAGAGAGAGAGAGAGAGAGAGAGAAGAATGAAAGAGAGAAGACAAAGAAAAGGGTAGATAGATAGATAGATAGACAGATAGATAGATAGATAGATAGATAGATAGATAGATAGATAGATAGATAGATAGATAGATAGCAGACAAATAGATAGATAGACAGCAGACAAATAGATAGATAGATAGATAGATAGATAGATAGATAGACAGATAGATAGATAGATAGACAGACAGACAGACAGACAGACAGATAGATAGATAGAGAGATAGATAGATGGGGACAGAGAGAGGGACACTTTCAGAGAGATGTAGAGAGAAGTCATCAGTCCTCACCTCCAGTCTGAGGTATTCGCTCTGTTGGGCTGACAGCAGGCTGAGGATGGAGCTGCTGTGTTTTCGGGTTCGGATCAGAACCTGGACCTGCATGTGTCTGGCTGGGAGTGGGCCGGAGAGCTGGTACTGCACATGACTCCGACCGTCAAAAGAATACTCCGGTACCTCTGTCAATCACACACACACACGCACAACATGACTGCTGATGGCCAAATATAGCAAATAATTCTATGATGCTACTACTTCTTCTTTTTTTAAAAAATAAAAGAAATATTAAGTAGAACTTTTAAACACCTTATTGTGTCTAAGTCATAAAATTTCCATCTGTACTGGTATAAATTGAAAATACATTCATTCAGGCTGTCGGTTTATTGGGTTACATTGACAGTCTACTGTTTTTTTTTAGAGACACCTACCTTGTATCTACACTCACAGTCCGTTTTATCAGGTCCACTTACCACATAGATGCATCATGTAGTTCTGCCATTACTGACTGTACTTTGTAGTTCATATATGTTTCTCTACTTAGCTTGTTACCCTGTTCATCAGCAGTCAGGACCCCACAGGACCACCACAGAGCAGGAATTATTTGGGTGGTGGATCATTCTCAGAACTGCACTGACACTGACATGGTTGTGGCATGTTAGTGTGTGTTGCGCTGGTACGAATGGATCAGACACTGCAGTGTTGCTGGACTGAGATTAGTCCACCAATAAAAATATCCATCTAACAGCATTCTGTGGCCAGGAATTGACCACTGATGAACTAGAATCTCTTTAAAATGCAACAATATGAGAGTGGAGCTGGGACAATAAGTGTAGATACATGGAGGTGTACCTTATATAGCAGCCAGTGAGTATATACTCTATGATTTAGAATTCTGCTGTTATTTAATTTATTTCACTTTCTAATGTTCAACTTATTTTCCTTATCTTTATGTGTAAATCACTTACTGTGCAATTGAAACGAAAATTGTGCAATATAGGATTGTAATGATTAAGTTATTACTGGATAATAATAAAAAAGAAAAGTAATGAAAAAAAAAAACACTTGTTAATGTACAAAAGTGATTCCAAACTTCTGTAAGTAGTGAACCTAAACAAGCTGCAGGGATTGTAATACACTGCACACGGTTTTCTGACAGGATGTGTTCTGGGTGTTGCATAAACAGAACCTACTGTAACGACTCATAACGGTTCAGAATCCTTCAGATCTGTGCCAGATTTGTGTTTCTGCGAAAGCGTGGCATTGGCTGCTAACACTTTCTCCTCCCACGCACTGCACATTCAAAGCCACTGTATTGACTCCTACAGTAAAAAAGCCTTCTGTTGGCATCTACAGTCATACTCACGCTTCCTCATCGATTTACACATCCATTCACTAGCATCCCTCAGTAACCGAGTTCTAATGTCATGCCAACCTTAGCTGCTGCTTCCCTCACATGCATGCGCGTTAGGGTGAATGCTTGTGGGGTCGCCCTACCCTGTTCACACTGATGCCCGCTGTACCCGGCCATGCACTGGCAGCTGAAGGAGCCCCATTCACCGTGGCAACGGCCCCTGGTGCCGCAAGAGGGAAAGCCCATGTTCATGCAGCTGCTGTCCGTCATCAAGCAGCCAGGGCTACTGCTGAAGGAATCAGCTGGAGAGCCCAGATCGTACAGCTGGAGAAGAGACACACAAGTATGCAGCGCTGATGAAAAGGAAGGCAAAAAGCTCTTAAACTGAAATGGTAAGACAAACTAACCAAAAAACATATATAAGAGGAGCAGGTAGTCTACAAATGGACACCAGAATATAGAGACAGCCACAGCGAGGAACTGTGGGGTGATTTAAAGAGCCCAGCGCAGCTTAGCCTTGAGAAGAAAGAAAGGTAACCGAGTAAGTGCCCTTCATTCTGTTTACGAGCTGCCCATTATGCAGTCTGCCTCACTGGAAATGACCGCAGTGGTGGGCAGTGGCGGGTGAGCTGGAGGCACATAAAAGAGCCACAATGAAAGGACGAGAAAACCTTGAGGCCTTCAGTTCTCTTCATGTTCGTGCGGCCCACACGGCGATTAAGATGTCCAATCTCCGCTTTTATGAGAGGGCTCCCTGTTCATCTGTGCCGGCTCCTCATAAAGGGGCGACGCTGGAGTGGTCTGTGTCAAGACTGAGCTGGGGTTCGATCCCATTCAGGAGCTAAATGCTGCTGAACCAAGCTTATTGCTGAAGGAGGGCACAGTCGTATGCAGAAGGTGCCCTTGGGTGCCACTGGTCACGTTACATACTTATTTCACGTTTTTCTAAGTGAAAGTAAGTGCACATCCTTTACACGGTACTTTTGTACTTTCGCGCTTTTTAATGCACAATTACTGTTTGTTTGCTGGATTTAACATATTGTGGGAAAATAAATAAAACATTATGTGGCCCGTGCATAACTCATAGAATAAAGAGAATAATTAAACAGCTAATAAATATAAAATATACACCTACTTTTGCAGAAAAAATGTCATATTTCAGGTTGTATGTCTGTCATGGAGGTGAATGACATGAGGGACACACTTTCAAAAATGTAGTTCAGTCCCCTGCACTTCTGGTCAAGCAAAACTTTAGGAAAATATCAAGCTTTTGTGTGAATTAGGCAACTTTCTGGTTAAACACCAAATTATGAATATAAGGCTATACAGTACTTACGTCTTATTGTTACAAAAGTTGAAATTGCTGAAGTAAAAGTTTGTGTAGTATAAATGTAACTTTTCCTTTTATTCATAATCACTTTTGGATTTTCTATTGCCTTGTTAATAACGTGTCATTATGACATATTAAGGGATAAAAATCCTTTTTTAGCCTCATTATATACATATATATATGTCTCCCCCTCTGTCTGAGCTACCAGGCACAAGCTTTCCTATCATAGCGACCTAGCCAACTTTAGCAAATGCTAATGGTCTTCGAATGATTGGTCCAATTCTTACTTGTACTGGCCACAAATAAGACCACACGGAATGAGTACCAGACTGTACATACAGTCTCTAACTTCACACCAGCATGGCAGCATGGCAAAGTAAAGGTGGAGCTACAAGGTAGGGCGTTTCTAATAAAGTTGCCAGTGGGCATGGGTGATATTTGGGGGGGCAAGGGGGGCATTTTCCCCCACTAAAATGTTTGTCAGCTTTAATCATGGAATAGTGACATTTGTCAAAACTATCTACTATGTATAGAGGCTGATCTTCACAACACTGGCAGAGCCTGCATTCTGATGCGCCAAGTTTTCATGCAATGCAATGTACTATCGAAAGCACTGCAGTCACCAAGTTTAAATTATGCTGCGGTCAAGAGCCTAGCTAGTAGCACAGTCTCTACTCTGCTAGCAATAGGAACAGATAGCGACTTTCAAAACTCTAAAAGCACATGGTTGACTCCTGCGCACAAAACAACTACTGAGGCCCATAGTGTCCATAGAAGAGGTCAAAGTGACAGTGACTGGATCAGATGCTGACTTTACTATGAGTTACTACAAACAATTGTATTTTAGTGTACTGGACAAAATGGTTCAAGAAATCTGTGATCAGTTTCAGGAAAACGACGTGGAAAGTCTAATCGCACTGAACAACATTCTTGGCTCAACAACATATACCGAAGCGGGCCTGGTGTTTGTTTGTCATCACTATGGCTTTTCCAAAGAGGAGACAAGTGCAGAGCTATCCCTCTTCAACGCTATTCCATCAGAAGAAATCAGCTTCAATCAGCAATTAGCACTTTTTGAAGCGTCAGATCTGGGGTATAGCCTAGTAAACATCGATAACGTCCAGTTGTTCCTCATCGCACCAATGAGCAGCGCATCTTGCTTGCTTTGATTGAACTTATATGAGAAACACTTTGAGTCAGGAGAAACTGTCTGACACTGCAGTGCTGAATACTGAAAAGGCCAGTCCGGTGGTCAGTGCATTTGATGCCGTGCCCGGTGGGTGCCGTCTTGCACTTTACTAAGGTAGGACATCGTTTATTCTTTGATAATTATAAGTTATTTGCTAAAAATAGGTTTTATGCCTTCTATATAGTTGACTTAGATGACTTGCACGCCCCCCACCCCCAACTCTACATCCACTGTGAAGTTGAGAAAGAGACGAGCAGAAAGAAAGACAAAGTAAGATCTCCCAGCATCGTTTAGACCTTGAGTGAGTAAAAGAGATTGAAAAGCTGAAAGGAAAAAGGGGGAATCAGAAATAGAAACTCAATTAAGTCCCACCCATAGCCTGCACTCTTTGAACTGTCCCCTGCTCCAGCCTGTTTCATGCTTCAGCAAGTCCGCTGAAGTTTTACACAGTCTTCTCCAGCACTGCTCCACTTCCATACACGGTGCATGAATCTTGCATGCTGCAGCGGCCCGTCCGCAGCCACGGGCCAGTCGGGGGAGCGTTTTAGCGTCAAGGACCGTTAGCATCCTGAACTACTGAGTCACGGACAGCGGCACACAACCCTTCCTCCATCATAAACCCAGCGGGCCTGGAGTCAGACTCCAGAGCAGCACTGGATAAGCGTTATTTGGGGCTGATAACCCATTAACATCCACTCCAAAGTCAGCCCGAGGTGTGGAAGCGCAGCTCTTGGACAGAACTTTTAACGCATAAATACTAGATGAGCCATTCAAGGTAGATCAGCAGTACTGACAGCAAATGTGTGTAGTTTAGCTCATCTGTTTATATGCGAGAGACTGTAAAGGTTGAATAGGCAGGGACTGTTTATTACAAGGCAGCTAAAAGCCGCTTGAATACATAAACCAGAGTGCAGTGGGAATGCGTACCATTCTCTGACAAATAGCTTTCGTAGATGTTGATATATGCAGCATTCGTGTACTGTTTTTTCACTTCTTTGTGTTTTTGTTTAAGCAACAAAACCATGAAAAACGTCATTGCAAAGTGCAATTTCATGTTTATTGCCTTTGAGACTGCACTGAATTTGGTCGATGCTACAGAAGCATCAAGGGCAGAGGAATCAAGTTTTGTTTTGTTGGTAAAACTTTTCAAATTTTACTTTACCATCAACACATTAAACAGTACTTTTCTGGCCATTTTAAGGCCGTTTCATACTTTTTTGAATACCAGCACCTGATCAATATAATTTTTCTCTTGTGAAAATAGATTACATTTGCTGTCTATTGGACTCTTGTTTGTGCTTCTTCATAATACGTTCTGCTCCAACTATCAGTTTGTTGAAAACACACAGTATAATCCAATGTCAAGAGATTTGACCATGCTCGATTAAAACGTTACCGCAATTTGTATGGAATCCTCACCTTGCTGTCTACGACGAGGTTGCGGATGCAGCCGGTGAAGTGCTTGTGCTGGAGCTGGGGGTAGATGTAGGGCAGGTTCTCGTTGACCCCTCCCAGCTGGAGCACCTGGGTCACATTCAAATGCCTGTGGACAGATCAGACTGGACTAAAGCACAAGTTGCTTTCAGCTGTCCAACAGTTAATCAGCAAGTCCAGTCAATGAGCATTAATACCCATTAAAAACAGTGCTGTATGGCTTCGCGGTTATAGAGTGCTCCTTCTCATCCGTGGATGCACTCAATCAATCGCTCAACCTTTTAACCCTAATCCCTAATGTGATTATCTGGAAATCAATACGCTATCACGTCAATAGTTTACAAGGAAACATTAAATACTTTATTGATCCGCCACATCACACAGGAAATCGCTAATGTGCACCACTCGCAAAAAGGTTGCTCTGTTAATAGGCTCTCGGCTTTCACACCGAGCGCCGTCTTTATGCCCTTGAGTAAGGTACTGTACCGCAAGCTCCTTCAGGCTTGATGCAACACGGAGTCCCTGCCAACACAAAGCACTGCCCACCCCCGCACACCTCGGGCAAACGTGTAAATGAGATACGCTCAATGTACTTTCCCCACTAAGGGATTCTTTCAAAGATCTTTCAAGTCCTTAAGATGTTACTGCTGTTACTTCAGCGGTAGAACACAAGAGGGAGCATGTTATTATGAATAACATTACGGCCGCGATTTGGTCGTAGATCACCACAGCCGTGAATTCGTTATTCACAATAACACATGACCTGCAGTTTTCATACTGTTTTTGAAAAAAGAAAAGCAAAGAAGTCCTGAACACTTGATTCAAAAGTATGTTTTAACTATGGCCAATTTCTTCCGCCAAAGAAAATAGTTCCACCAGCCTAGTCTGTTTAGTTACATCCAAAAAGTTGGCTCAGGGCAATCTGACCTACTAATGTGACCCTCTTCCTCTGAACCCGACCAAAGGAAGTGCTGAAAGTCAAATGTTATCTAATACATCCATTTTTTTAATATTTGTTAATTTATGCTGTACAGTAAGTAGCAACTTCTTGTTTATTAGCGACCGGTGGTTAACAAAATGATAGAGGTACTATTAAAAAAGTGCTGTTATCAGATAAAACAACATGGGTTGAACACTTTACAACCAATCAGAGTATAATTGTATAATGCTGTGTAATAATATAATTGGTTCATGTGTAATTGGCTCATGTAGAATATGGTATATTATAATAAGCAGCTGATTATTACAAATATGTCCAATGATAATAGTTATTAAAGGAAAATTATGCTAAATGTCTGCGTAATTAAGCGGTTACGATGCAAACAGTCATTCAGAGTGGTCTGACGCACCATTCTAGAGAATCTACAGTCAGAACTGTTCACAGTGGTGGTGATAGGAACCAGACATCTGAAGTATTAAAGCCTCTAAAAACTACATCACAGAAAGTTATTATACAAAATGTCATAAATACATTGCCTGATGCCTGAGACATTGTTTCATGACAGTTTTGAGATTAGGTTTTGGAAGAAGTATATGAAGCATGCTGTAAGGCAAAACAGTACCCAACAAAAATATATTTTTTGGGACTTACCATCAAAATTGCATATAAAACCATAAAAAGTGAGGGCTCACTGGATGTAATGGGTAGGAAATACAATGTCTATATTTGCTTGGTAGACATGGTAACCACTGGTTCCTATCACCAGCATTGTAAACAAATTTTCAATGAGAGTTTTCCTTTTACAGTTCACCATTTCACATCAAACCATAACTGCAGACAGAAGACCTGATGGTGATGTGGTTGAGCACAAAATGCAAGTACATATTTTACCTATCCAGATTTGGCGTGACCCCAGTCACCTCACAGGACGTGTGGTCCTCAGTGGTCAGCCAGCTGCCCACGCCTTCCATTTCCATAACTGTGGCTCCTGCACAGCGATCCAGGGTGAAACGTACATCCTAGGAGAGACGTCACACATACTTAGTACATACTATCACACTCAGCTTGAGCACACTGTAAAGTTTCAATTTGCACTTGACCATCGGCCCACTGTCTTTCCATTCAGGCTTCTCTTCAATGACGATCTTTAAAGCCCCTTTATAGCTACAATCTCAGCACTCAACTTAAAGATGTTCAGCTCTGTTCCACTCCTGAAGGACAATGAGTCACCAGCAGGTTGCTCTTTATTCTAAAGTACATAGGTTCTTTTAAAAATGCAATTAAAGACATGAAGCCCTTTGCACGCCGCTGCTGCTCTCACACTTCTATCTGTCAGACTGTGTGAGCCACAATACAATTAAACTCAAAGAATGTCAAATAGACAGAGGCAAGAATCTGCAATATTCCTCAAGCAGCCAGGGGGCTGCTCGTACGCTGTTTGCGGTAGAAAGTGAATATTATAAATTGTAATTTGGAAATGACCCTCAGGTGGTTTCCTCAGTGTGGGTTGGATAGAGTCACTGCAGTATTGCTGACTGGGACATGCACTGCTGAAGGAGACATCGAAAAAAGATACATTCGATCTGTGACAATTGTGCTGGCAGACTTTCTGTGCACATCTGCCTTTGTCTTCATTTTCTCTCTCCCTCTCTCTCTCTGACTCTCTTTCTCTCTAAGCCTGAGCCTGAAGATCACGCTCGCAATACAAACCAGCTTTTATTCAAAGCAGTCTTCAAAGGTGATGAACCTTAGGCCAGGAGCCAAATGTTAGCGAGAGAGAGAGGGTGAGGTGCTGGCCTGGAGGGACATAGGTGAAAGGTCAGATAATGTAGGGGCGAGTGCCCCCCCCCCGGGCACTGCTGCGAAGGGTGGGGAGTGGAGTGAGGTGGTTTGGCGGAGGCCCTGGTGCCGCCCACACACGCCCACCTTGCTGTTGCTCCTCACGTCCAGTCTGTGCCACCGTCTGTCCGCCACATTCACGTTGCCCGGCAACTGCAGGACCAGAGTGCCCGAGCCGTGGTTTATCTTCAGGGTGGGAGTACCGTCGATCAGCTCTGAGATAAAGAGAGAGGGAGGGAGAGAGAGGGAGGGAGAGGGAGAGAGACAGAGAGAGACAGAGAGAGAGAGAGCGAGAGAGAGAGAGAGAGTGAGAGAGAGAGAGAGAGAGAGAGAGAGAGAGGCAAAATATCTTTGTAACTCTTCATAGGCCAGCCCAAGCCAATTGGAATCAGACAGAAGTAAACATGCACCGATGGCCAAACTCAACTTTGCAGTCATTGAAGATCAGTAACCAACTCCCCACCTCTACCTCACTGATCCTTATCAGCCCCTCACCCCCATATCTAAGAAGTTAGAAGGACATTCTGTCCTAAAACTAGCATATATTTTGTCATGATGTAGAGCTGCATTGTATCCTGAAGCTTTATCAGTTTGACAGAGCTTACAGTTTCATATCACTTTTGTGTTTCCCTCCAGTGAAGTTTTCTAACTACAACACCCAGTGTGCATTGTGCAAATATGTAAAACGATAAAGGAATGAATTAATGTAAAGGCTAATAAATGCAGTTGTGATATTTGGTGGATATTTAGCAGTAACATTCAGCAAACAAAAACATTCAAACAGCCCGTCCGTGTATTCACTCCAAAAACACTTTCAGAGTTCCAGAAGAAGGATTTCCTAGTCATTAAACAGGAAAATCTCACTCTCAGGCCTATCGTGGCACCACTGTAAGTGGTAAACAGGCATGCTTACTACAGATGTAGCAATGGTCACACTTTTAGGTTTGGCTGGAGTGACCCTATAACTTACGTTTATTTTATTAAAACAAATGATCACACATTCTATTTTGACACTACCAAAACAACCATAATGCTAGCCACATGCCAGTCAACACATGACTGAATAACACAACTTTGAACAGTTTTGAACATTTTTCATTAAAACGCAAAAAATGTTACTGCAGAAAATATGTGTTTTGGTAGTGATTCTTAATGTTACACACTGACTTTTAGATTTTGGGACACATTTACTTTAAAACAATGGCATCTAAGTGCTCACCGTGTGGCCATGAGGGACAGGGATGCAGTCTTACTTCCTGCTCTAAAATGCAGGGGTGTGGCTGAAAAGAGGCTCTGCCTATGGACTAAATCTCTTTGTATTTCGGTAGTGACATCAAAACATGAGACAGCATTTTCACTTTAAAAAAAAACAAAACAAAAACTTACAATGAATATTAACCTTTCAACTTCACTTTAAAAGAAATAAAAAGGCTTTAAAATAAAATAAAAAAAATCTTAAAAAAAAAAAAAATTTACAAGTGTAAATTTAGGGGTTTGCTACAGTCACGTTCCAATACAAAGTACCCCATAAATAATTTTTTTGGATATGTTTAGCTCAATCTCAATAAATGCCTCGAGTTCATAACATAATCCTTGTAAATATCTAAGGTCTGAATAATTAATTGTTTTTGAAATTGGTTTCTTTACTGTGGGACAGCAGAACTAATTCAGTAGGATGGTCCATATAACAGAACGTGTAAGGTGAGATAATGTTTCCAGTTTGGACTCTGTAGTCTAGCACGAAATGACGTGGACTATCGGTGAAATCGCAGCGAATCACTTGGTTTGTATGCATAATAGCATGATCTCTATTTGAATAGAATTGTCAATGCCAGTAAAGGAAACCAATATAAGACTGTAACCAGAGTAAATCAATCAGATACAGAGACAAAGCATTAGTGATACATTTTCACAGAGCCAGATTAAACTAAGCCTAGACTAAATGGGACTTTTTAATGATGAAACAACACATCCAATAAGTCCAAGACCAGGTTAAATCCATGTCTAAAATACTCACCCTCAATGTGTCAAACTCACCGTTTGATATATTTCTAAGAATGGTGAACTTAGCAATATATCAAAACAAAACAAAACAAAACAAAACAAAACAACCAGCCAGAATGCGGAAGTCCACAACAATAGATGATTGAAGAGTGTTTTATATCATGACAAAAGATCAAGAGCACTTTCTAGGATGTAGGCACCAGCATAAAGAGAAGAACACACCAGCCTGATCACAAAGGCTTTCTCGCACGATTCAAACCACCAGTACACTTACATGGTGGAACTGGACTACTTGTATTTAGTGACGAGCAGAATGAACTCTAAAGTGTACACAGTATTTCACCAAGACTGAAGACAAAACAAGCAGGAACTGAAATTCTTCCTTAACAGAACTGGCAGAGAATCACCAGAGAAGATATCCAGCACCTGGTGGGGCGAAGACTTCAGACATCGTCTGCAAAGGATCGGCAACCGAGTACTAAACCTGATTATTTCATTTAAGATTTTGTTCATTTGCTTATTGCATATTCTTCCCAGAAATAGGGTTTATAGCTGGTCTGGTTATCACATTAGCCTGGGGTCAATTTGCACAGAACTGCTATTACTGAGAGCTCTGGGTTTAACGAACTACAGAAAATCTTTCATTCCAAAATTATAACAGACTTATTAAACCCCTGGATTGAAATCTCAAATCTCATCTGTAATCACTTACATTATAGTGCCTCCACAGGCACAACTAAACTGGAGAAAGACTTGTATAATAAATAGGATATGATTTATACGTTTACATCTTCAGAAAAAGGGTACTATATTGTTACTAGAGTGGTACCCTCAGGAGTACATTTACAGTACCTTTAGTTAGGGAACCTAATTGTACCATATTGTGTTGCAGTCGTGTCTATTTTTTAAAGTTGCATTGACGTAGACCCTAGCTTAACTCCAGGCTCTTTATGTTATTTTTCTATTACAAAACGTTTGGTTTTAAAAGGTACAACAATGCACATTTTCTCAGTGAGAGTAAATGTAGTGTACTTGTAAAACTCATTTAAGGGCCTTATTTGACCTTACGACACTGTGATTCTGTGCCTATCTGTGATTTTGCATCTTTGCAATAAAAAATGTACCTGTGTAGTACCATTTTTTCTGATAGTATACTTGAAATACAGCATGTTGCAAAAGTCAAAGACCCTTTCATATTTAATTTCATGTAAAAACGGTATTTAGTACTTTGTTGCTGTTTTCTTCAGTTCGATTTGAATTGGGTAAGTCTAAATTTGGCACAGGTGAGGTCAGATGTGCCAGAGCACCAGTCAGAGTTAGAAGTATGTATACATCAGCTACTCACGTTCCTCTCCTTTACATAACGTGACTGCTCTCTTGCTGCTCCGTATCCCAGCCCAAACTCCAAGTAGGTACTTTAAACTTTTCTAAACTTGTTGACAGTGTTTTTTATGGTTCATTACACCTTTATTTATAGCGTAGCTAGATGCATTAGCAACCTGTTGCAACCTCAGTGACAAGAGTGCAGTAGCCACCATCCACACAAGAAATTTCTCCATTGTGTCTGTATATATGATCGTGACGGATCATAACAGAGGCTTATGTAACCTCTGTTTCAGAAAGATGGCCCAACATTTAGCAAGTTAGCTATAGGTTATGGATGTGTTAGTGCTACTGAGCATTCAAATCTCAGACACGATATATCTGTGATCTACCGGTCATGAGATGAAAGCCTGAGTCCTTCAACATTATCTGCAATCTCTAAATGACAACTGAACAGCTTGTTCTCCATTTGGAACTTTTCAACCACCATTCAGAGACCAGATAAGGGAAGTGGGCTGTTCTGAACATTTGAAACCATTTTGACAGGCTTTAGGACTTTTTATGTTCCAGTTTTGGAAACTCTAGTTTTTCCCTTTTCTTGTGCAAGTGGGTTACCTTAGTATTTTAAATAAATGAAGAGTGGTCTCTGATTTTTGCACAGTACTGTATATATATTTGCTCTGGTATAGACAAATCAGTAAGTAACAGCAAATAAAACCCAAACTTGCTCTGATATCCACATATAACAGCAAATAAAACCCAAACTTGCTCTGATATCCACATATAACAGCAAATAAAACCCAAACTTGCTCTGATATTTATCTGTAACAGCAAATAAAACCCAAACTTGCTCTGATATCCACACATAACAGCAAATAAAACCCAAACTTGCTCTGATATTTATCTGTAACAGCAAATAAAACCCAAACTTGCTCTGATATTTATCTGTAACAGCAAATAAAACCCAAACTTGCTCTGATATCCACACATAACAGCAAATAAAACCCAAACTTGCTCTGATATTTATCTGTAACAGCAAATAAAACCCAAACTTGCTCTGATATTTATCTGTAACAGCAAGTAAAACCCAAACTTGCTCTGATATCTGCACATAACAGCAAATAAATCCCAAACTTGCTCTGATATCTACATATAACAGCAAATAAATCCCAAACTTGCTCTGATATCTATCTGATATCTATCTGCAAATGAAACCTAAACCTGCTCTGCAGCTGAGGTAGAACGTTTCACAAACCCTTCTAAGTTACAGCCAGATATCATAATATAGGCCACAGAGGTAGATAACCCTGCAGAGCCTGTCATAATTATGATCATATCATCCTCCAGTATACGAGAACAAACATATTAGAGAAAGTTCGCTTTTATCTGAGCTAGTCGATTGGCAAATTAAAAATTAATGAAGCAATGGAGATTCCCCTAGGCTTTAAACTGTCAGACAGGGCGCTCCATGCGCAGGCGCTTGTGCCTGTCAGTGATTCTGCATTAATCAGTTTGGCCTCAGCACAAGCTGGGCCCCTTTCACCCTTGCGATGATACCCTTCGAAACCCATTTTCTGTTTCTAAGCCTTTGTCTTTGTTGCCCTTTCACTCAGTGTTGATTCCTCCTGCTCAAATGTTTGGTAGTCACTTGTTTGCTGTTTCGAATCGCTTGTCGGCCTGTGGCTCTACCATTTGAGCTGAAGAGAGTTGAGAGCACTTCTCTGAGCGTAATCCTTCTCAGTGCATGTTGCTCGGCACTGCATGGTGGCAGAGGTCAACCAAACCATGATTAAGCCATCAGGAGAAGTGGCCTGCACCGAACACATCTCCTGTCTTCATTAACTCATTCAATCACTGCCTCGCGGTGAAATTCGCCCAGTTAATTCCC